GGTCCTCTGCCATCTTGATCATAAGCCAGGTGGTTTTTCTTGGATGTGGAGGTGACAGAAGCACCACCATGGTCGCGCCAGGAGCTTTTTCGTTTGCTCCCCCCTCCACCTTTTGATGGCCTCCCTGTCAAAACCACAGTTCAGGGGTAGGACTTTTGACTCATACACAAAGGAGTTCAGGTTTCATCCCCAATAAGGCTTGGGGCAACTCCTGCCTGAAAACCTGGAGAACTGGTGCCAACCTGTAAGGCAATAGCGAGAAGGGATCTGACTCAGAATTAAGGCAGCTTCTTAAACAAGAGCAATTGAGGGGGTGCCAATCACACTAGTTGGATTCAGACAACATGGAAACCCACACTCAAAAGGTGAGAGTGGAGTGCTGAACTGTGGGTTATTGTGTCAGCTGAACCCAACTAAGATAAAAAACCATGGTGAACGACCCATAGTTCACAACCCAACAACAAACTATGGATCCTCTTCTTGGCTTGTTCATGGCTGACAAGGTTTGTTCATGGCCCACGTGGCTGGTTAATGCAGCTAGGATGAGACGACTCAATAAATCATGTTTCAACAACAACCTGCATTCAACCCTTGAAGTGTGGTGCACTGTGTCCCCTCACACCTTCCATAACAAAGTCCTTCAAAATGCAGCCATGACCCCCTTTCCTGTCACTTCTTCTGACATGGTGAATGAACTCCAACTCAGAGACACTTAGAACTCTGTTAAATTAAAGAAGTTACAGTCGACTGCCTGCTTTTTAAACAAATTGCACAAGGCCACCTGAATATGTTTGTATGCATTACCAAAAACAGAACACAGGTGTCCTTTGGAGTCCTAACATTCTAAAGCTTCTCATACACTCTGACCCTTTAGCAGGGCTGACTGCAGGATACCGGGAATTAGAAGACTGCTTTCTGTCTAACCATATATAGGAATTCACCTTCAATTAATTTAACTTAATTAATTGCCCTGGAACGGTGGAAGCAACTTTTGGTGCCATTGCTGCTGCATCAAGCTGCCAACATCTCAACCCTTGGATTAAGGTCCAGGGAAAACCACAATAATCCACTAAAAAAAAAGAATCACTTACTATCCACTGTAAAGCACCTCATCCAATTAAGCAGGAAAAATTCCTTAATAATTCCTGTTTTCTCCATTTAAATAAATACACAAAAACCCCTACCTCTGATCCTAAAGATCCACTGAGCTAAAACATGGAACCTAACGATATAAGGATTTCATGTTAAAAGCTGGGGCCCATAAAGGCAAGCCTGTCACAAGCTGGATATAATCTGAAATGTTAAAGTTCCTTAATGGCTATTTTCTATGGCTTTCCTTTCTAATTTTCCATTTTAAAAAGATTCAGTCATTAAAATACCTTCTCTGAAATGTCATGGGCATGTTTAAGGGCCTTTTAAACTTCCACATAATCTTGTTTTCAGCCCTCCCCTCAACAGCCGTTCCTCAGTCGTCTCCGTCTTTCTTGCTGACTAGCGCTTCTTCTATGGACCTGTCCCCCTTCCCTAATCCTGCCAAGATGGAAGAAGGGCGGGCCCGCCCAGCCAGCTTATACTATCCAATTAACAGAGGATGCCTCTTTCAGCAGTTAAAAAGTCTTGTAATCAATCGATGGAACTGATTAAAGGATCAAAGGTTGCAGCCTGGCAGATATATAGACAGACAGAAAAGCATCCAGACAGACAGACAGACACGTATATACATGGATATTAACTGCACAGCATCACTGGCTCTTTTGCAAGAGTGAGTTAATAAACAGGTGGGTGGCCCTGCCTCAAACCAGAAGGGTAGATGGGAGACTGTTCAAACTCTACAAACAGTATTTTTTTTTCTGAGATACAATTAAGCACGGCTTCCATCCCTTCTTTTTAAAGCAGACCAATAAACCAAGCTAAGAAAATCAGGAAGGGTTTTTATTTCCCTACAAAACCCCAGGGTTAGGGAAGGACCTGCCTTGGAAGGATCCGATTTCACACTCTGATTCAGAAAAGGGTTATCAGCAGCCACAGAAGAGTCACTAAATATCTTGAAAATCAAGGAAGCTCCCACTGGGATAATCCAAGCGCAAAAGAGCAGAAACTTCCTTGGGATCGGAAAGCCGTGATGTGGGAAGAAACTGACACCTATTGGCAACTTTAAGATTATTCCACAAACACTCCTATTTTTCTCCCTTTTGAAGAAAAGAAGTTGCTTCCAGTTTTGAAACATGCAAACATACAAAATGTTGTAATGCAAAGGCAGAGCAATTTCAAGGCATGCTGCTCCAGCACCCCCCGCCATTAAATTCTAAGCATACTTTGCTGCAGCTTTCCTTTTAAGGGCAAAACCCTCCTTGGAAGTGTGAGCTTGGATTCAATTTACTGGTGGGGAGAAGCAGTAAACAAATATGCACCAAGGCCCTCTTCAAAGAGGTCGCAAGAGTTTACACTGAACATCTGGGGCAAAAGAGAGATTTCTGCTCACACGAGCAAAGTTGGCACTTTGGGCAGGGGGAGCTTCTGTCTCCCTTGCCCTTCACATTTGGGTGCTGGTTCTCCTCACGCAGACCTAGGAAACTGTGACACACACGCATGCTTTTCGGTTTAGGAACACACAGTCTGTTTTCTCATCAATGTCTTCCAAGGGGCTCCCTGTAGAAGCACAAGAAGTGCTGCCCTTGCCTCTCCCCTCCCCAGGTTAAAAATCGGGCCCATGGCTCAGCCTATCCAGGCACTGACTAACTCGCCCACTCGCCCCAGGGAACATGCAGTTTCATGCAGGCACGTGGGCTGGTGAAAAGGAGGGCGCATCTCTCCATCCCTCTCAAACGGATTCACGTGGTTTCCATGCCTCGTGAACTCAGCATACTTCTAGAGGAGTGGCACAGGAATCCATGCCTCCCTCACCAGCTAGCCGGTAGAAGACAAATTATTTTCCCGGTTGCCAAGACAAACACAGGCTGCTGGGAGCCTGCAATACCTGCCTCAGAGGAAGATCCTCAAGGCAGGAGTAGGGCCATCCTGGCCCAAGACATCAGCTGCAGCAAGCTGATTCTGACCTTCCCTGCCAAAAGTGCACCTATGCAAATTGGAAACAAAGAATGACCACTTGGATGTTTTTCCTTCCCCCTCTCTGTCCATTTCCCTTTTGTACCATGCCTTTTTGAGGGTAAGCCTGAAGGCAAGGATTGTCTTTCTGAGTCATTCAGGAACCCTTGTCCAGCTAAAGCACAAGGGAAAAATACTGTAAAGAAAGTATAAAGTATATGAAGACGAAAACGAATCTGCAGCCCTGGTTGTGGAGAGGGCATGTCCTCTCTTCTTCAGCCAGCACGGAAATGCAAACTATTTGACACATAACAGGGGAGTAACATCCTGGGACGCTCTTACAATGGTGCTTCAGTCTTCATGCCAGCAGGATGGGCATGTATTTTTTAATCTGTTTCCAAAACACTGGGCACATGACTCTTCGTGCAACTATGAGGAAATCTGCTCCATCTTGTCTCACAGTTCAGAGGCACCAAGGGCCAACCCTGGTGGAATTCCATAGTGGAGGGGCCATTACTGCAGGACTGAGCTTCTCCACAAAAAAGCCTTCTTTCTGCACCCCTTTTCCGTATTTCTGTGCCTTATTTCCATACGTAACAAGCCAGTTATATACGGAAGCAGACAGCTCTCAAATATCCACGCTGCATTTCATTTTAAAAGGTGTTCGTGGCCCAGTGTGCGTGCACCTGCGCATCATCGTACATTGTGTGGGATGCTGGAAAAAGCAGGGCACGGAACTCCCCTGAATGGCGCGCTGCTTTTGAATGTGCCCCCCTGGGGATGTATCCTGAAAATCATTCTAAAATAAGAATGAAGCTGAAGTGAAAGCAGCTTATACCATTCTTAATGCCTGCCAGCCAGGCGGTGAAGGTCTCTGACAGGTCGGCCCACCTCAGGAAGGAAAGTGGGACAGTTCAATGCACTGCGCAAGAGGACAATCCCACAGAAATGAATGTGCATTGCGTAAAAGTGCGGCTCCACTGTAGAATGCATCACTTTAGTGGGGCCTGTGTGAGATAAAACCCCAAATTCTAAGGACCACTGGGAGAACAGCACTAACAGCTCCCAGATCTGTGGCAGCAAACAGCAAAAGCAGAGAGGGCTAAATGCCAGAATGATTGCACAGGTAGTAGCAACCCTTGCCAATCTGGCATCCTCCAGAAGGTCCTAAGTTTTGGAAGGCTGCGTCAAGTGATCCAAAGTTAGCCTCCAAAGACGTGGCAGGCCGTATTCTCCACAAAACTAAGGCCCAAAGCTCTCCCCTCCCATCCTCCTGTTTGGTTGCTGAAAAATAACACTTGTGAGAGAAGCTGGGGAGGATTTTTCTGTAAGGGGGTTCATAAGCATGATTCCAGCGCTGATGGCAAATGCCCAGACTAAGGTTGTGCTGACAGTCACCCGATTCCAAGAAGGTTCACCCATGTCTGGCCTCCTGGAACACAAGCAGGCCCCCAGCTCTGCTGGTGGATCTCAGGCTTAAAGGAAAAAGCAAAGGAGGCCCTGCCAGCTTGAAATCTGCTCACTTTCATCTTAAAGGTTGTGCAAGCGTAAGCTCTTCTTAGAAACGTGAACTCGGTTCATTCCATACATGGGAAAAAGAGGCATCTAACCCTAACTCTAATCCTCCTGCCTTGCAGTTATCTTCCAAGACAGATGATACATTCATGCTTTGCATTCATGGCTTGATATGATATTGTGTCGAGACATTTAACAAGGTATTGTACTTTAAAAAAAATAGACGTGCTCATTCAGCACAATCTGACAGCCACATTTAATCTTTTCTCCATTAAAAATAAAAATCAATAAAAACATAACTGTAGCCTCCCCACAAAAAGATGGCATGCAAGCGGCAACCAGCAGGGCTCAATTTCCTAATCCCTAATCAAGCTGGTCCGATTCACTGGCAGTCATTCAGGGAAGAGACACAGGGAACGAGAAGGCAACCTGATGCTTACTTGTGACAAAGAACTTTTTGGTGAAAGTGCAGCTGTCAAAGGCGGCAATTTTCTCCTGCAGGACGACCACAAGGATCCTGAAAAGGCACACAGAACGGAGCGGGCATAAAATACAAGGTTGCGCAAACTTTCGGGGCAGGATGAAACATGGCACTAGCATGTGTGTGGCTGCTGCTAGAAACAGCACCTCTGCTTCTGCTTCCTCCCCTTCCCCGGGAACGTCCCGCAGGCTACACTGAGGGCAGGAGCGTGGCCATTCCAAGCGTCAGCATGCCCAGGCAGTTTAATAAGAAACTCGGGCTTGTTTGGCATCAGTCCATTTCCTCACGATGGGTTGAACTGAAGGCATGCCCGGCCACAGGTGCTGTTCATCCCTAAGTTTCTCATCACGCTGTCTGTTGTTGCCAGCATCAACCAGAAGGCCAATGTGCACCAGCGCAATGCAGCAAACAGGATCCAGGCACACTTGCAAAGCTTCCGCTGCAAGTCCAGGATATGGCTGGGATGAGCCCCCTGCGCACTGCAGGCTCCTCTCTTGCTCCCCAGAGGAGAGGAATCACGCGCCACCTCTGACTGCACAAGGCTTCCAGCTGCCCGGAAAGGTAGCACTGAATGTTATGGAGCAGCACCGGGCCCACCATTCTCCATCGCCGTTTCTGACTCTCGGGGGGGGCTTGGACCATTTGGAACTGCTGCCCTGCCCTCCTGTCCACTCCTGGAGATCACAGACAGGGGTGACTGTGGACAGCTCTGCACTTATCGGTTCTCAGCAGCTGCTGAAAACTTTTCTTAGTTGGTCAGACTTTTTGCCTTTCTACAAATTCACATGTTCCCCCAAAATGGTGCTTTACCTGAGCCTCATGCCTCTGCTTCTTTTCTTATGTTCTTATTGAATGCATAATTTTATGAGATCATGATTTAAATTGGTTGTCAGCCACCCCGAGGAGTGCTCAGGCACCAGAAGGGCAGGAGCAAAACTCCAGTGTAAATGAAATGCACATACTCAACTCCCCCTCCCCAACTTGGAATTTGACCATTTCCTCAACCGGTTACAGCCACTCTTTCCCCCCAACTAACCCTCCCTCCCCACCCATCTGGCTGCTGCCTCCGCTATCACTTTGACCCTGCTGGTCACCCTCTCTGAAAAGTGAGAGGAGCCAGAAGGCATGGCAATAACTTGTCTACCGAGGGGTGACAATTTCATTCAGTTCATTTTGGGCTAAGAGAAAAGCCCATCCGTTTCCATTCCCAAAAGTCACGGGGTGAAAAGCGCGCTTCTGAACCCTGCAGTGTGGCAGGGAGGGAACTGGGCAGATCTGTCATGCCTCTCAGCAGAGGGCTTTGAGCAACAGGAACCTTGAATATGGAAAGGGCCACTGGATGTGAGTTAAGAATTTTTGCCCATGGGTTCAATGTTGTCATAAACAGGGAGGGAGAGAATTTGAAATCGGAAAGGTGTGGATGTGGGATAAAGCGAAACAAGCAGTTCTGCCCTTCCCGAGCCTCGGTCCGCTTGTCCCGAGGTGGGAGGGCAGCAAAAGGGGCAGCAACAGAGTTGCCGGGGGGATCCCTGCCCCCTGCAAAAAACTGAGGCTGCCAAAGGGCCACAGGGGCTGAACTGCGGCCAGCCCCACCTTAGCAAGGCGGCCCCTGTGGCTGCTTGTGACAGCAGACCGTGGAGAGGCCTCAGGCCACGATGGCGGCAGTGCAAATGGAGGACTGGCTGGTCATGAGGCGTTTTATCCATTTCAATGGGTACATGTTGAAAGGAATCCCACGAGAGGGGCCCATTGCTGTAATAAACCTGATGCTTTACCTCCTGCAATCCACTTTTTTCCCTTTTGGGTAAGCATTCATCGTCCCCCATCAACGCAAATGAAAATCCGTCGTGGGCGCATAGCGTATTAATCTAAAAAGTGTTTCATCCTCAAAAATAATCACATTGCTTTTTTTTTTTTTTTTTACTGCAAATCTGCTGGGCATGACGGCCATGCCTTATTTGTGGAAAGTGTTTTTGTCATCGGCGGCGGCGGCGTCCCCGTCCCCCCCGCCCACTCTCCACCATACAGTGGAATTAAGGGAAAGTGGGAAGGGAGTGACGAACGCGGGGTTTATGTAATAGATCACTTAAAATGATTACCAGGACATAAAGGGCAAGGGCAAAACAATGAAACCGTTTCAGAGGGAGAGCAGTTGGGGAGCCATTTTAGATCCCAGCAGCGCGTGTGGGGGTGCGGGGCAGGCCTCCAACGGGGCTGGGCTTCCTAGGCCCCCACTGAAGCGAGCGCCCCTGCCTCACTTGTCTCCCCACTGCCTGGAGCCAAGAGGGGGCTGCTTCCACCCCTCCAGATGTGTGGGCCTGCGGCTCCCTCCGTCCCGAGCCGGCCAGCCAGCCAAGCAAAAGGAGATGGAGGATGCAAGCTGCAGGATCAGACCTCTGGGAGGCCAGAAGTTGGCTGCGGTTGTCGTTCTGGGCCATCAAGTCACCCCTGGCTTGTGGCGACCCGCCCACCTCCCTCACTCGGGTGCTGCAAAAACACCAAGACATAATGGCAACCATTGGGTAATAAAGCTATCGCACGACAGGAATGCTTTTACCTTTTGTTGCAGTGGAGGTCATAAATGGGTGTTTTGAACTGTATGGATTTGACCATTTCTCCTGTTCGCAGAGAGTGGAGGTCAACGCAACAGTAAGGAGGACTGGTGCTGAAAGAGAACCAGGAAACCGGGAATTCAGTGACGGTAATAATTCACAGCTCTCTCAGAGCAAAGGTGGTTTGATTTGGTTTGTTGCATTTCGAAGGCCACCCATCCACAAATATTCTATGGACGTTACAAATCAAAACGCACAGAACAGATGATAGGTATGCAATAATCAACAGTGACAAACAACGAAAAATGCAGCATAAAAACTTTCTTCTTATACAGACAGCATAAAACTATTTGCAGCACAGATGAAAAGCCACCTGTGTGTGTTTCAAGAGCACCGGAATGGGAAATCAGTGGTCCTTCAGGGGGCATTGGGCTGAAATTCCTATAGTATCATCCCACTCCATTGGCTATGCTGCCTAAGAGTTGGGGTTAGGGCTAGCCTTGACTAAGGCTGCTGAAAGTCACTGGCCAACTTCTGGAAAGGCTTCTATTCCTCATCCCCTGTCTACGTGGATTAACCTCTTTGGCCTAGCACGGAAAACCTCATTAACAACAGCACCAGGCAAGCTGCTCTGGCAGGGAGCTGCCACAAAGGTGACGCCACTTCACCCAGCACTGGCACGCGGGTCAGGCCCCCAGTGAGAAGCTTAAGGACAGGCTCAACGCAGACAGGACGAGGCGCTCTTCCCTACTAAACCCTGCTCTGTTTGCTCTGGAGCAGCAGAGAATGGCAGAAGGCACTCCTGGATTTGAAATCCAGATTCCTGCAATTCCAACTCTCATTTAATGCCTGAAGTGGGATGGGGAGAGCACAAGCGCTGAAAATGCTGAAGTGCCTGCCTGAAAGAGCAGAGGAAGCACAGAAGCTCACCGGGACATGGACCGTTTGGCCAACAGAAGGAACAGAACTGGATGTCCACCCACTGGGGTTCCACTGAATTTGGTGTCTGCACACCACACGGAGTCCATGCCTGAATCAATTCTATAAAGACTTGTATGCAGAAGAAGTGGTGCAGGGTCAGCGAAATTAGGTGGGCTGCTCGAGGCTGCTGTTTCAATTACGTTAATATACACTTCCTCTTATGTGTTCGTTTGGATACCGGCAGACAACAAGCATGGCATGGTGCACGTATGGCAGGTCACAACATGGCGGAGCAAGGTGGTGCGTTTAGAGGCAGAGGCCGGCGTGAGACGTGGCGGGGGGCACGAAAGCGGCCGCCCCGTGCTTTCATGAGCTTCGCCCCCTGAGCAACACCCGCCTTGCTCACCAGGAAGCGAAAACGCATGCTGCGCTTTTCCACTGCAACGGCTTCCCCACGGGCGCGAAAGGCAGGCGAGGCAAAACACGGGACGCATGCCCCCACACCTGCGTCTATGCAAAGATCCCGCGGGGGGAGCAAGGCAGGGGAGGTGTTGCGGGGGGGGGCGCCCCCTTCAGCAGCGCTCCTGTGATCTTCGTCACATCTTGCTTTCTCCTTGGTCTTCTGGCACAGAGAGAGCAGGAGGACGCTGGGTGGCCTGCAACCTTGAGACTTCCCTGCCAAGCGAGTGTGTTGCCAGCGTGGTTATTCAGATCCGACGACCGAACAGCTGAACTGCCCGGCTGCTCGTGTCGTCCAAGCACAAAGAACCCATGGTCATTTTAACAAGCGCTTTGTTTTGGTAATAACGAGGAGAAAAATGCATAGGCAGCACGTGCCACTTTTATCATGTTAAAGTAAATAAGGCCCCCTCCAGCTGTTCCTTCATTAAAATCCAGCTTTCTTTCAACAGAAGGAGTGCAGAGTGCGGCACAAGAGGCTGAGAGGAGAGGGACGGGCGCCATTTTGCGAGCCAGGAAACGACTTTGATCTGGCAGCTCGCTCCCGTGGCACATCCCCCTCCCAGCCCTACCCGCCTCCTCAGAGAGTGCATTGAAAGGTTGGCTGCTTCTAGGCCCGGTGCGCTGGAAGTAGCACAAAATGGCCAGCTGTGTAAATACACACGCAGACCTTCTGGAGAAGGAATACCGCGGGAAGGGTGCTCACTACAGCTGCGTGCACACAAGCTGGAGACGGGGCGGCAAAAGTGTGCGTGGGCTGCACTGGCAGGCCAGTGGCAACACACCTTGAAGGTTTCCCCTTCCCGAGAATGAGCTGTTTGGAATGAGCGCTGCTGCGTAGTCTTCTCCACACACCGGCCTCTCCAAGCACCAACTGGGCGACCGCTTCCCAGTCTGGGGGTGCTTCTCCTCCCCGACACACACGCAGAGCATGCAGGGTCCAAATGCCTCTCCTCAGCCCACATTACGGACATGAGGAACTATAAGTGAAAATACGCCGGAGAGTTTGATTTTCAGATCCCATTGCTGCCCACTGGAAGGAGAAGCTCGAGAACTCCTTCAAAATGGACACTGGAGGTTCTGTTCCTCTGAACTAAGATCTGGCTGTGGGCAGGAGCTCTGCCCGTTCTCCCAGACACATTCAGGGATATACTGTGGCTGAACAGAAAGGTCTTATTCAGCTAACTTGAGAGAGAAACACCTCCCCCCCACCCGGGCTCCTCCATGAACCTGCCTAACGACCTTGAACGATCACCTAAGCTGCTGCTGGTCGCGGCATCTTGTGGCAAAGGGTCTCAAGGCTTCCCCGTGCATCATCTGCTTCGTGTTAAAGGAAAGTGTGGGGCACGCGTGCTCGAGGCACGAGCCTGTCCCTTGCAGACCAGCCGTTTGATGGAAACACGGGGCCCGCCAAACCCTTCTTCAAATTTGTGACAAAGCATTGTGAGGAGGAAGCCGTTTCATCCAGCCCTGCACAGCTATCGAGAAGGATGCGTGCACGCTGAGGTATTTTTATAAAAAATGACATTTACTCGGTGTATCACCAAGACACAAAAGGGTAGAAACCTTTTAACCCCACCACTAAGTGTGAGAGGCCTGGAAAGCCTTTTTTTTTAAATCAGAGAAAAGTATCCCAATCTCAACACATGTGCCACTAAGCCTACTTCGTCAGGAGGAGGAAGTAGCATCGAATCTAGAAAAGGGGTGCTAATCCTTTGTGCAAAATTTCCTGAAAACGGGTAAGCAGCAATGGAGCTCAAATGCCATGAAAATACTCCTTGTCTTGAAGCACTACAGCACACAAAATGCTTTGCTCCTCTTTGGGCAGAACACACAGCTGTGGCAGAGAAGGGGAGCCCCATACTGAGCGCCCCAAACTTCCTTAGCTCCTACTTTAAACTTACTCCTTGGTCCCAACATCATCATATTTTACATTTTCTGGGCTGTGTTGGAAAGCCGTCGCTTGGCTCAAGCGCTTCGCACAGCTTCGGTGTTCAAGGGAGCGGACCAAGAGACGTGGCCAAACATCAACTGCTATTACTTAATTACTAGAAGTGGGGCCTCTGTGCTGCTTCACATCCAAAGCAGCTCCTCAAAGAGGCTTTCATATAATCTGTATATCTATTGATAATCAATGCACGCGTTGATTATACAATGCAATCTTCTGGCTTGCAGTCATGACTCAGGGAAAAAGGGATCGGGAGGGAAGAGGAGGAAAATGAAGGCTTTCCGAAGGGTTCTCTGCTCCCTCCAAGCATGCCCGTTCTCACTCATGAAATGCAAAGGTTGGTCTTGGCGTTGGCCACAGCTGGAACGGGAAAGGGAAGGGGCCGCATCCAGCCGTAGAACACTGCTTAGCATGCTGGAACTCCCCGGCTCGACCTCCTATGCACCACTGTGCAAAACTTAACAAGGCCTGCCATTTGTCTCCAAGGACATGCAGTCGAAAAGGAGAGCAAAACAAACAATAAACCCCAACGAAGGGTTGACGGCTTTGCAGGAAACAAGAGCGACGTTTAATCATGCAGGAAGCCCGCCGCATTTCTTATTCGATCAGCTGTAATATTGGAACCTGGTCGGTCTCCACCAGCCAGACAGGAAATCGTATGCCTATTGCTATGCGGCAATCTGGGTCTCTGAGGCAGATGCCTGTCTCTGCTGCTACGACGACGTCGGGAAAGCATGAATCTGGGACACACTGAAAAAGACTCGGGGCAGAGGAGTAATAATCATTACGGAGCAGCAGAATACTTGGTTCAGGGCTGGCTGGGCCTCTGTTTTTGGCACAGGAAATGACAGATTCTCTTATTATTTAATGTTTTGGGATGGAGGGAAGAAGGGTCTAAGGAAACACCCCAGACAGTACCCTGGTGGCACTGCAGGCAGATGGCATGCCTGAGAAATTATCAGTCGTTTGACATTTCCTGGGAGAGAAATTGGGACATTGGTCATTAGCCACTAAAGGAAGACTCCCTTAAAATCGTCACCTGCAAGCTGGACTAGGTCTGTTGGTCCATTACCTTCTGCAAGTAGGTGCTCGGCAGGAAACGAGGGCTGGGGTTTTGAAAAGAAATGTGAAATGGGACACCCAGTGAGGGGTGCTGCATGTGGACACATGACTGCCCCCCGCAAACTTTACAAGGTCATAGAAATTCAAAGCCACTGCCTTGTTTCTTCCCTTTTAAATCAAGGTTAGAGGCACACATCCTGACATTTTAAAAGAAGTACATAAGCTTTTTTTAGCAAGGACTGTAGTTAGTGGGGTTAGTCTAATAAGTGCGAACCACAGGTCTGTTAGGCAACCGTCCAGCGTTCATTTTTTGTCTAAAACAAAAACAACGGCAACAGCTCATGAACACAGAAATATCAGCAACATCAAAAAGAAAGAAGATATATTTTTTAAAATCAAAACCATTTGCAACCCCCTGTCCTGTTTTCAATCTCAACAAAGCAAAACAAACATGTTACAGCAAAAGCAGTCTTTAGACTCACTCCATATATCAAATGGGTCGTGCCCTCAAATGATTAGCGCTGTTTTTGCAAGGAAACCCATATACACTATTTTCTGCTATTAACAGGTAATCGCTCAAGTCAAGAAGGGACTGCGCTGCAATAATGGAAGAGAGTGCGCCATGAAAGCACTGTCCATAAAGACAAAGGGGACAAAAACCATCGCGGCTCTACAAAAGAGCCATCACAGTGCATGTCCTGCTCCTTCAGAAAAGGGCACGTC